GTCAGACAGACGGATGGACAGACAGACAGACGGACGGACAGACAGACAAACAGACAGATACAGTTACAGTACCTGTTGCTCCTTTATTGATTTGACATCACTGAACTCAGAGCAGTAATAATAGTGATTTGTGCATTAGAAAACACATCTAATAATATGACAGTCTAACATGTTTCACCCTCAATCAAGCCCCAGCCAGTCTTATTTTAGTATTATTTATATACTATTATAGTATGTATTCATATTTTGAATTAGCTTTTTTTCCATTTTCAGTTTTCATTTTAGTGTAAATTTTGTATTTTGCTATTGATATTAGTTTTTGCTCATTTTTATCTATATGTATATTTCTGTCTGTTTGTCTCTGTCTGTCCATCCGTCCATCTATCCATCTGTCTATATTTCTATCAGCTTTAGTTTTAGTAATTTTGGAACTTAAACGTCTTTGTTTCGGTTAATCGCCAATGTAACATTTCTAATTTTCATTTCAATTTTTTAAGGTTATCATTTTATTTTAAGTTTTATCAATTTTGTCATGTGCTTTTGTCATTTTTATTAGTTGTTGTTTTTATTAATTTATTTTTTAATTATTTATATTTATTTTTTTCTATTTAGCTTTAATTTATTTTTTATTAATATATATATATATATATACACATTTTTTTTAATGATTTTTTTTTGTAAATTTCAGTTTGGTTTTTTTCCATTTTTTTTTTTTCAGGTTTTATTTAGTAATTTTATAACTTAAACTTACTTATTTTGCTCAGTTGCGAAATGCAACATTTGTAATTTTTAGGGTTTTCATCTAATATTAAAAAAAAAAATTTTCAGTTACCAAAAATGATTTGCAATAGTTTTAGTTCACAATAACAGCATCGGTCTCAGTCCACACAATTTCCTGCTGAATATTCAGTTTCACCCAGAAACAAGGACGTTCAGTACATCTGAATGCTTTTCATTTTCTTTAACAGACACACGTAGAGATCAGAGATTTCAGCCAGTGATAATGATGAATGTTATTATAAAGACTTCCTCATTCTCATGGATGATTTGGTTTCTTACCCTCCAGACACGTTGAGTAAAACTCAATGAAGAATTTGGTTCTGCTGGCCGTCTTGACGATGGCTTCGATGTTCTCAAACTCGATGTAGGCCTGTTCTGAAGACTTGGGCAGACCTGCGGAGGAAGAGCAGCTCGATGTGAGAAACCTGTGACAAACAACAGAAACTGAGCCATGAAAACACACGCCGTACCTTTCTTAGAGACGAACTGAGACGTGACGCCCACCTCGAACGTGCCGAAGACCGGCGAGTGATCGCTGGTGACAATATCATCTGTACAGCCTGACACACACACACACACACACACACACACACACGGTCATTAAACAGCGCTTGCATATTCATGAGCGGGTGGACAAACAAATCAGCCTCAATAACCATCACAACATTCCTCACGTACAGTCAGTTACTGACAGAGGCTGTTATTTGTCATTTATTTTGAGAGTAGAGCTGGATTATATAGGAGATTCATTTCACTCATTTTAAACCTTTTGATAATATTAAATATGTATCGCAATATTTATGCATTTGCTCTGAAATTATTTAAAATGATTGTCAACAAGTAGTTTAATTGTTTTTTTTAATACATTTCAGTGATATAGTTTTTTATATAATTTATATAATGTTAGAATTAAAAAAAAAATTCTGTGTATATATATATATATATATATATATATATATATATAAAGAGAGAGATATATATATATAGATATAAATAAATTACAGTTTAACAGAGATTCACACAGAAAACAGCTGATTTACATTTTAATAATATTCCACTATTTTTACAGTATTTTTACAGTATCAAATAAATGTCTGACTGCTAGTGTAAATCACTCTGAATATCTCATATATATATATATATATACACATATATATATATCGACCTGTTTGAGAGTAACAGCACACAGTAACAGTCAGTTGTTGCCGTGGTAATGTGTCTGGTCACCGTGGTGACGGCGTACCGTAAGAGTTGCACATGATGTGTGTCTCCGGATAGGATTTCCAGAGGATTCTGTCACACCATGAAGGAACGTTGGTCCGCATCTGAGAGATGAGAGGAATTTAAAGAATGCCATCAGGACACTTCACTTCCTTTGGCAAAGGTCAAAGGACAGGAAGTAGCCGCCTCAGGACCGTAAACATGTTTGCACAGGATTCTTTCTTCATGCACATGAAGAAGAGCTTCTTTAAAGGGATAGTTCATCCAAAAATGACAATGTGCTGTTAATTTACTCACCCATCCGAGAGGCTTTTTTCTGAACAGTAAAGAAGATTTTTAGCTAAAATCGTGCTCCTTGGTGATTCATACAATGCAAGTCAATGAGTGCCGGCACTTTGAGAGTCAAAAAAGCACATACAGGCAACACAGAATGAATCCCCGTGGCTCCTGATGATATTTTGAGATCTTATGAAGCGAAACGATCAGTCTGTGCAAGAAACTGAACGTTATTTACCTCATTATTACCTGTAATCCAGAGCCCCAGGCCAACGGTTCACTTTGTGAATGAATCATTATTTTGAACCGGTTCTTTTTAGTGAACTAGTTGAATCAGTTAATTGAATCGGACTGAATCATCTGAATCAGTTCGCGGCTCGAGCAGCAACGATCTACAAGTTACTCAAACAGAACTCACTTTCAGATGCCTGACGGTCACTGTGACTGGAAATGATTCGAAACACCGGCGTATCTGATTCTCTGATGAATGAACTGATTCAGTTCCTCCAACAGACACTGAACTGAGGAAACAGTTCGACTCGGACCGAACACCGGTGAGCCGCTGATGTGCGTATGTGTGAACCCAACACTTGAATGAAGCGGAGAACTGAACGTTTTTATGGTTTCTCATTGTTTATGTATAAAGATGAGCTGATGAAGACGACTTTATTCACTTTATATGCTTTAGACACATAAAACATCCACGTTTGACATCATTATTGGGAGCTTTAATCATATAATTGTGTATACGTGACGTCATTGCATGATTATTACATAAACGAACTAGTGAACTGAACCAGTTCATTGAATCAAACTGTCCAAAAGAATCAGTTTGCAGAAAAGAATCAGATTTCCCTGTTGACCTGGGGCTCTTGATTACAGGTAATAATGTGTTAAATAATGTTCAGTTTCTTGCACAGACTGATTGTTTCGCTTCATAAGATTATATATATATATATATATAAAGAGAGAGATATATATATATAGATATATATGTGTGCGTGTTGCAAATTGAATTCATTTCATATATTAATTTTTTTATTTAATTTGTTTTTCATGTTTTTTGATAAATTCATTCATAGATCAATATTTATATTTACATACAACAACACAATAACAAGTATTAATACTTGCATATTTAATGCAATCAAATATATTAAATATTAAACAAAATATTTAAAGAATCAGTATTTAATTATGTTCATTTACATGCAACTACACAACAACACATAGTAATAAATATCAATATTTTCATATTTAATTCAATAATATATATGAAATATTCAATTAAATGCTTAAACTATATTTCAAAGTTTTTTTTTTATAAAAGAACCCAGGGAAGAATATTTAAATATATTCATTTATATGCAATAATACAACAACACATAGTAATAAGTATCAATACTTGCGGATTTAATGCAGTATTTAATCGCATATTCCACTAAAATATTTTAATATTTTATAATGATTTCTGTCAACATTTTTTTTTTTTTTGACATGAACAAGTTCGTGAATCAGTTTTGAATCAATTCATTAAAACTTAATGGCCAAATAACAAGAGTTATAACTGCATAAATAATTATAATATTAAGAAATAATAATCAGAAATGTTTGTTGAGCAGCAAATCAGCATATTATACTGATTTCTGAAGATCATGTGACACTGAAGACTGGAGTAATGATGCTGAAAATACAGCTGCGCATCACAGAAATAAATTACAGTTTAACATTTATTCACTTTATATGCTTTAGACACATAAAACATCCACGTTTGACATCATTATTGGGAGCTTTAATCATATAATTGTGTATACGTGACGTCATTGCATGATTATTACATAAACGAACTAGTGAACTGAACCAGTTCATTGAATCAAACTGTCCAAAAGAATCAGTTTGCAGAAAAGAATCAGATTTCCCTGTTGACCTGGGGCTCTTGATTACAGGTAATAATGTGTTAAATAATGTTCAGTTTCTTGCACAGACTGATTGTTTCGCTTCATAAGATCTCAATTTATCATCAGAAGCCACGGGGATTCATTCTGTGTTGCCTGTATGCGCTTTTTTGACTCTCAAAGTGCCGGCACCCATTGACTTGCATTTCATGAATCACCAAGGAGCACGATTTCAGCTAAAATCTTCTTTACTGTTCAGAAAAAAAGCCTCTCGGATGGGTGAGTAAATTAACAGCACATTGTCATTTTTGAGTGAACTGTCCCTTTAAGACAGTTTTGGGCAGTTTCCGACGTACCCCAGTCGCCTTCTGCTTCTGCCAGACGTACGTGTCTCGCGAGCCTCGCTCATAACGGTACGTGGGTGGATAGGTGATCTCCTCCTCCGCTGGACACACACACACACACACACACACACACAGGAAATGAAGCGGTAGGGAAAGGAAATGCTGATCT